AGCAAATTATGGGTCACTGGATATAAACAGCTCTAGCTAAAGGTACAACAAAGACTGTATTGTGCTATGCACAGCAGAGCCAATAAACGAATTCAAAAGACACCTAGATGTGTTCCTGGAAAAAAAAGGGGGCAGGGGTCTAAGTGGTCTGGTGGGAAAACAGGAAAGTGAGATTTAAGATAAATTAAAACAGGTTTGGCACGCTGGGCTCAACAGCCCCTCCTATTCTTATCTCTTTTGCAGCTTTTAGAACATGTATGGTTATAAAATGAATTGTTATCCTGCACTGAAAAAAACTTCTTCATTTCAGAAGCTGACTGCTACCACAGCACGCAAGATTAACGCTGTTAAAATGAGCCTACAACAATTTACAGGTGTTGGGATAAAGCCTGATGGATCTTTCTAAGACAGCATGCAATTTGCACCCAGAAGTATTAGTACAGGGCGCTCAGAGGAGGGGGGAGGGCAGGCAGGGAAAGGGTGTTGGGTTTTTTTAGCCTTTGCTTTTGGGTTTGGGTTTTTTTTTTTGGGGGGGTGGGGATTAATCTTATCTCTATTGTCTGATTATCAGCTGAAATCCCATTCCAGGGAACTGCACCATCTACAAGTCCTTCTGATCAACTCTGCAGCTACAGCTAAGTGTATTAAAATACACTTAAAACTTAAAACAACTGCTTTTATATACACACAGTTACTAAAACACAATCCTCAGGTCAGTCAGATTAATATTCCAGTTGGTAAAGAACTCTGTTAGGAAGACACAGAGCAGCAATTTCTAGTGCTGACTGAATTCCCCTTACAAAGTGATCAGGCAGCTGCCAGGTTCCATGGTATGAATCTATTCACTGCAAGCCACAAGGTGGAGATCTCCGGACACGCAGGATCCAAAGCAAGTCTGTTACCCAGCGTAATATTACTATTAACACTTGGAGCCATCGCATCAAGCCAATTTTTCTGTTTGTTTTTAAAGTTTGATAGAAATGTCACTAGTGGAAAAATTAAGTAAAGAGCACTGGTTAGCCACAGAACTGGACACACCTGGCTGCAAACCCACCAAAAGAAACTGACTTCATTAGTACTAGGGACAGCAGAGTAAAATTTATATCTGAAATATGCCTGCACCAGTAGAATTTGCTGAGGCCACAGGCTCTCCGTGTGTTTTTACAGCTGTGTCAAGTTTTGGTTTCTGACTCTTGCCGACATTCAGGAGTGCTGAAGGAGCTCAGGCTAACAGGTCCCAAAACTTTGTAGCTGAGATTTAGATCTCAGCAATTTTAACAACCAGGTTTTCAAATAATACAAACTCCATTTGGAGTTGGAGCTGATGTAAATTAGTAGTTAAATGCCTGACATTCTATCACTTTCGGCTCCAGTGAACTTGTATATTTAACAGCAGATGGTATATTTTAATAAAACTACCAATATCAGTTCAGGAATATAGTATCCATTTTCTGGATCAAGTGTTGGAATTGTTGCTCAATATGGAAACAAGTTGAAGAACTGCAGCTTTGTCTGTCAACAAGTAAAACTAATTGCATCCAGCAGCAATTTTATACAGGTGCTCTCTCACTTATACCACAATACAGGAATGTGGCAACTGGAGTTAAATACTGACCTTTGATACCCTGCATGAGAGAAAAAGCAGGGAACGGAATTTCCTAACCTCCTAAGAGCTATGCAGATGATAACTTAGTGCCCTAGAAGTATTCAGTAAAGTTTCTTTTCATTTAACTTACTTTTGAGACGGGCTCAGATTCTGAAATTTGAAAGCATCAACAGGGGAACATTAATATAATCTTCTTTTTATCTCCTATTTTTATCTTGTTATATTTAACTATCTTTTGGAAGTAGAATATATACTGATTGCAGGACTAATTACTTGAAAATAAATAGCTGTTACACATATTCCTCAATTAGCTCACAAACCCTTTGTCATTAACGCAGCTTCATTTTAAAAGAATCATTAGGGATAAATACACCAAGATTAATAAGTAGAACCTAACACCTAGGGTAACTGCCCTTTACTTATTTATCACTTAACACTCCTTGCAATTGCTAAAGCTGAGATGTGAGACAGTTCAATCAGGGTACATCCATGTGAAGGGGAGGAAAGTAAGTGCAGAAGAGTGAACATCGTGGAAGAAACAGGAACTGCCCATGCAGGGGCATGGGTGAGGTGGTACATTAAGCTGGGATCACCAGCACCAAGGAAGGAAAATACAGCAATGATAAGGAGCAAGGGAACAGCTAACTTCTTCAAACATCAATGCAGAAATTATTTTCATCTAACATACAATAAATACTGCCAGAAGAGACTAAAAAGTTCATTCATCTTGACAAAATAATAACTGAAATATTATGAATCATTAAAAGATTAAAGGAAAAAAAAATCACTAAAAGATTATGAAAGCCCTACGCCCTCACAAACACTATGGGGAAGAGAACAGTCCTCCTTTCCAAGTTTACAGTCTAGGAGAGTCCACTATGATTTCTTACACACCCTCACTGCCTGCTCTAGTTCGCTGTTACCTCAAGAGTTCACGTTCTCTCACAAGGAGTCTCATTAAAATCAATGGGCCTCTGTGCAGCTAAACTATATGAAATATACACACAGATGTAACTGTTTTTGAGATCAAGCCTTTAAATGTGTACATACTTTGTTTAAGCATCAGCTCTTGCCACATAAAAGCGATGTTAACACTAGGTTACAGTCCAAAGCATATTACAGGAATCATTACTGCAAACTAAGCATGCTTATTATTACATTGCGTGATCATGATTACAAACAAAGGTGGCAAAATTTAAACTCAAGGATAAACTGAAAAGATGCCCAACCTGCCAAGGCAGAGAACGTGTGCCACGCACACAACTTCAGAGCTCCTTACAGTTGCATCATGCAGCAACCATGCCATTATAAGATGCGTGTATTAACATCTGAGGCTCCAGACTGGATGAACACATAAGGACACTGTTGAGTTGGGGTTTTTTTACACTTTAGGGAACTTTGGGGAGCAAAGCAATAGTTTAGTTTTCAGAAATGGGAACTCTGTGCTTCCCTTTACAAAGAACTGACTGTAAGTACTATCTTTTTTTCTCTTACATTTAACTGAAAATAAACTCAATACAAGTCTAGCTTACACCACGCTTCACTTTTGAGTTGTGCATGCTTGTAAGCGTAGGGAACAGCTAGCTCTGCTTCTCTCTGCTGTCTGCTGGTGCTGCAAATCCTGCAAGGAAAACTACAAGATGGCATTTGAGGTTAGTTCACATAAGGCAAAATTAGGGTCAAAAGGATCAGAGAAATAATTTTCTGTTCCAAAGCAGCATTCTCTCTGTGCACAGATGGAATCAAAAGATCCCTCAAGAGATTTGGGGGGGAGCTTTGGGAGGTGGGGTGTTTGGGTGATTTTTTGTTGGTTTGTTTGGGTTTGTTTTGCTTTTCAAGAAGAGCAGCCTTAAATTTACATCTGGAACGAAGATCTGGGCTATCTCTAATTCCTGCAGAAAGGAGAATCAAACTGATACAACATGGAAGGCATTAGATAAGGAGAAAAATGTGTAAGCTATTTCATCAATCTTTTTCTGTGGTACTATCACCTAATTTGTCTAGGCTCACTCACACCGCCTTATGGCAACTGACCAGGGAAGTGGAGATTCCCATACTGGAATTTCTGTAAGCTCATTAATGTACCAAGAAATTCTAAGATGCCTGAATTTAGATTTAATCCAAAAGAAGATTAAGAGGATGACTTGTCTTTAAAAGCAAACTGTAACATAGTAAAACTATGGAATTACCAACAACTAGGAAAAAAAAAAAAGCCACTGTCGATGGAATAACTGAATTTACACCAAAATCAACACTTTCTAAAACCACTTAACAAAATAAAAGATCAGAGTGAAACTTCTTGAATTACTAATGTGATAGTATACCAAATCCTAACTCACTGGTTAATTCCCTTGTTTGTCACCAACAGGAATACCCTAGCAGCCTCGCCCTCAGTTATTTTGCTGACAGCTAAGATTTGACAATACACAATCACTGCTGCATGAAAACTGTCACTGCTCTAACAGTCTAATTTATTTCACCATAGCCAAACCTCTATTTAATCACTGAAAAGTTGTTTTATTTTTCCACAACACAGGAGATCCCGATTTTCCCACTTGAAGTGTGTGCTGGGTTAACCTTGGCTGGACATCAGGCGTCCACCAAGCTGCTCTATCACTCCCCTCCTCAGCAGGATGGGGAGGGGAGAAAATAACTTGGTAAAAAAAAAGTTTTCATGGGCCAAGATAAAGGCAGTTTAATAGAATCACAAAGCAAGGGCCACACATGGAAGCAAAAGAAGAACAAAATATTTGTTCTCTACTTCCCTTCAGCAGGCAATGTCCAGAAGATTCCCAGGAAGCAGGGCTTCAGTACGCGTAGCAGTTACTCCAGAGGACAAACATCATAAATAATGAATGCTTCCCCCTTCCCCCTCTGTTCCCCTTGCTTTTATTTCTGAGCAGACATCATATGGAATATCCCTTTGGTCAGTTTGAGTCAGCTGCCCGGGCCATGTCCTCTCCCAAGACCTTCCCCAACTCAAAGCTCTGCTGGAATGACTTAAGTTCTGATTATACATTTGGCACTAGTCACGTTTCTCCCTACCTCAGCTGCTTATTCCTATCCACAAATGCCCATTCTGTTATAGCAGCATCCACTTCTGCAATCACATGGCAAACCACATGGCAAATTAATTGCTTTCAGACAAATCAGCATCTTCATCCAGGCCATGGTGCAGCTTCAGAGACAAGGTCAGTGCCTCAATACAACAGGCTCCAGTAGAGCTGCAGGAATGAACGGTCAGGAGTAAGAGCTCCACACAACAGCTTGAGCTCAGAAAGAAATAAACAAGCAGCGAAAGGTTGATTCTTGGGCATTCTTCTCAGATATGCAAAGTTACAAAAGGATTGAAAGATGTGAATCATTAAGATTATCAACACCAAAGATGACTTACCCCCATCACCTTACCACGCTGTTCAACATCCTCCCACATGCAGTGAACTATATAGCGACACATGTATTTTCCTGTGCGACCCTCCTGCTTCATTCGTACCAGACACATCCTGCAAGAACATAAATACCACATTCATAACTTCTAGTTTTTCTTCAGACATAAAGAGTAAATTAAATATATTTCAGCTCAGTTAAGATTCTCCTGTTTTTGTGATCAGGAAAAAAGCCACACACAAAAGGGTTGTTTTTTTTTTCTGTTTTGTTTTTTTTTTTTCCCCAAGTAAACTACCACAAGCTTTTCTATTCTGCATGCAAGAGCTGTATCTGCTGGAATTTGGCCAGTCCAGCTATAGAAGAGTGACAGTGGACTCTATTCTGGCTGACAGTACTGTAATCTAGTTAAACAGTAGTGCAACCTAAATTCCTCAGCCTTAAGAATGTATCACCTTTTAGAGCAGGAACAAATGTCTTGTCTAATCCTAGGCTACAAGCCAGCTGTAATTCAGCTTGGTACACTTAAGTGCTGCAAGAGTCCAAACTAGTCAAGCTGTGAAAGTTTAAGCAAGTTATAGACTTCACCCAATTTCACAGTAGCAATGTCCTAAATTATTTCAACTACAGGGATCTCTGGATACATGTCTAACCGCTTGGCAAAACCCCTCCAGGCAGTACATGCTAGAAGAACTCACAAGTTTGTAAGCGCACTGTGGGATCTTAATGAGAAAACCAGGTCGAGTTGCTTTACTTTTTTTTTTTAAGCATTAAAGCCACTTGAACTTCACTGCTCCTGTTCTGTCTAAAAAATAAATCATCAGAACAAAAATCTTATTTTGCCTTTTTTACAACATCTGTAAAGAGCATGAACTGAAATACAGGCTAATCCCTCCCTAAGCTAAGAAACCAGTCCCATCACCAGTCCCACCTTCTCCACCTCACTAACCAGCTCTGCTCCTGTGTTACGAGTGTAGAAGTGCCTGTCCAGGATTGACCGAGGTACTGTAAATGAGGTGATACTCTAACACTGGAGCTGAAAGAAGTCACTGCTTTGCACAGAGACATGCTACAGTGGGAAACTGCTCACAGGAAATTCCCCTCACAGCTTCTGTAACAGCAACAGAGCAGAGCTGCTGGAGGCCACTTTAAAGCAGTTGCACACTAACAATAGTGAATGTGCCACAAGAGTGAAGAGGTAAAAATGATGATGTTTTTCATCTGTTCATTTCTTCAGTGAACATAAGACCTGTGCCTCCCTATGGGCATTAAAAGTACTTGGTGATCTGCGAGTGGCAGCTCAACAGGGAGAGTCATAAACAGTTGTTGAGATAAGCCGTAAAGGAGAGGTGCCAATCTTCATGATGGATTCTATCTTGTCTACTGATCAGCAGCGGAAAGCTATTTTTTAACCTGCAAAGGAAGCAAAACTTATTGCCAGAGATGAGTCACAGAGACATCAAACTGAAGGAAACAAAAACTCCACTAGTGCTATATTCTTTTTTCTGATTGGAACCATATATTTAAGTCCCGTACAAGGACCATTCCACTGAGACAACAAAGTTGAAAGAAGAAAAGCCCACAGGCCAAAATCTGATTTCTAGATGGAGAGCTTCTGCAAATGACACTGGCCATACAAGAGACAGCTCAAGCTCCAACACAAGCCAAGTGGAATGAGGTCAGAAGACTGGAGAGAGGGCTGGAGGCATGACAAGTAGACCAGTGCTCCAAGGGCAGAGTGACTGAGAGAATCTGGGTAGAGAGGGGAAGGACAGCAGTCAGTGAAGGGAACTTTGGGAAGACTGTGGCAATTTCTGTCTCAGCAAACAGCTGCAGAAGGCTTCCCAAGGTTTACAGTGTGGCAGCAACAACTTGGTATCTGTCCAACAGCACCACTGTCCCAGTAAACAAATGCAATTAACAGTATCAAGAAATGAATCCTCATCTTGCTCACAGAAAGATGACAAAGCTTTCTGCTAAAACAGTGGTCCAGAACTCAGAGAACAGCTGTCCAGTTACCAGTCCTTCCACAAAACAAAGGCATCAAGAGCTTAAAACTTTTGTGTCTTACTAACCAGCATGGCTCTACCACGGGCAAATTGTGCCTGACCAGTCTGGTGGCCTTTTATGATGGGGTCACAACATTGGTGGACAAGGCTAAAGCAACTGATGTCATCTACTTGGACTTGTGCCAGGTGTTTGACACTATTCCACACGACATCCTTGCCTCTAAATTAGAAACATGTGGGTTTGATGG